TCGAATCAGTTAAAGAATGACAGATATGATAATTCCTTTTAATTTATATCTTGAAAGAATAAGCCACTTTTTGTCGTAAGAGGTTGCCAATGTGCCGCCCCACCCTGCAAAGCAGGAGTTTTTCGTCTATGTCCTATGAAACCAGAATTGACCTGCTGTCCCAATTGATTCAATCAAGAACTGTCTGTTTCTATTCCTTGCACCCAATACAGAAATATACCACGTCATACCCCGTGCTAGATTTTTCTATTTCGCCCGACCTGTCTTGTACCTTTACGTGACATTGCCCAGAATTTGTTCACAAAGATCTATTCATCCGCTCATTAACGACTCTGCATTGTAGATATTCTGTTCTGTCGCTTTGTGTATAGTTTCGATATTTTAGATATTGTAAGAGTCCTGATGTGGTAGATAAAATATAATCTACGCTGTTGAATGCATTGTCTTCTTTGTAAAGACGGGATACATTTTTTTGCGCGGAAGCATTCAATTATACTTTATTAGTGTGGAAGCCATATTTATTTGAGGCCCTAGACGGGAAATCTGCAGTCTAAGCGAAATTGAATATTTTGTTGTTTTCGAACTAAAAGGTGCGAGAAAAAAAACAAATTACCTATAGCTGAGGCGTGAGCTATTATGTTACAGAAGCTTAGCCCTCGACTGAGATAACCTTATCACGTTCAGTTCTCACTACCCTAATTTATCTTGTCGATGGTGTCCACCTAAGCACACAACCTCATATGACCTTAGCTGTTGGCGTGAATCATCAAACAAACAAAAACAGATTGTCTTTGTATATGTAGTGTCGATAATTGCGCAGGCAACAAAGCACAGACGGCTAGCAACCCGTTTATAACTACATTGTATCTTGTCCTCGTCAGACGGGTTGTTATTGGTATTGTTAGGCTTTTTGTACCATTGACCCTACGAATACTACAGAATGATATAAATCTGTGGCCAACACGGGTTCACAATAACGAGTTGAAAGCTGTAACAGAAGAAAGAGTGCATACTCGAGATGGACATAGAGTACATATAAATGTGTCTGGTTTAGTCCATTGCCTGTCAATAAGTAATGAATGACGAACTGTCCAAAAAAGTCTGCATTGGTTGGTTTGTCTCGAATTATTCTATATGTAATTACAAGTTTGACATAAGTAAAATTTTCCGCTTGAGTAAGTATTCATTATCCACGAATTCATGTACTCACGAAATGGTGTTTCGTCGAGAAACCATAAAAGTACACTACTTTTATGAACTTAACTAAAAAATTTTGGTTGCAATGTTTTCAATATCAATATTAAATAGAAATATTTTCAACAAAAAATATATATAGTATTAAAATAACTCATATTGAAGAACACCAATAAATCTAAAAACTAAAACATTATCAGTTTATGAAATCAAGAGCGCAAACTTAACAGCAAACACAAGGATAAAAATGTAGATCAAGTAGTTTGTTGCGGTCAGTTGATAAAGAAGAAATCTGAAATGAAATGCAAGTAAGGCGGTGCCTCCTGTCTGGAATATAAATGTGGGTCTTTAGAAATTCTCAAGATTTTCACGCCTGACACACAATACACCGTAACCCAACTATAATTAAGAAAGATTGGTCACACAAACGTATTTAACTGATTCCTAAGAGAAACAAAAAAAGAAACGGGAGACCTAATCCTATTGCCATCTATATGGAGATGATTTAATGATGTTTGATACTGGTGACCAACGCATCATCGGACATATATAACGGACAGTTTTATCTACGTTTCTAGCCGTCACAATTAAATTACTAAACTGTGTCAGTGGTATTGTGTTTTTTCCCCACCAGTCCAATAGAATGGAGCAGCCGACTAATAACATCAAGTCCTATTGGAGAGAATCTGAATATATACTCAGCGGAGGTTTTTTGTTTATGGTCTACTTTGACCAGCATCACGAAAATGTGCTAGAATAATGGATTTTTTATCCTATGGATGTAGCAGCAATCATTTCATCAAATGACAAACTTTATAAATACGTATTTGGTTTTATAACCATCTGCGATCTGCTATCTCTGGGATGAAAAATATCAGAACCATACGTTATGCCTAACATGTGACCTATTTATTAAACGTCATAATACGGTTTGAGAATCGTGTGCAGAAGATGAATAAAAGTACGCCGATACGTATCGCGGCGAATACTTTCCTTATTTCCTTTACCTAATTATCGCCACCGTGTGAAATGTACTGACTTAAAAAATCGTAAAATGTCTATAGATAAGGCATGTCTTGGCGCTTGTGTAACATTGTCTCACACAACGGTGATTAAATATCAAGGATTTATCTATGACGTCATAATCTGTGAATAGATATGACGTCAATGTTCCAACACTTATATCATTGCATGCATGTTTTGAATCGTTTTGAAAGCTCATACACATGTATGTAATGAAAATTAATTAGGTACAAAACTATATTTCTTATGAATCTTCAAACTTATTCCAGCATTAACGTTTCGGAATGGTCTTTTATTCATCATGTCGTGCAAATTTACTTTGAATCTACTCGTATCAAATATTATTAATTACATATATTTTAATCAAAATAATCTGACTATATATGTTGAAAATGTATCAAAGCGTTTTATAAGGCCCCCGCTCCTGCTACATGAAGATATTTTAAATCTTTACTTTGTCCATTTGTATCCTGTTTTTTGCCACATGTAGGGGCCCCGGTGGCCAAGTGGTTAAGGCGTCTGACATTCTGCTACCACTAGCCCTCCACCAATGGGTCGCGGGTTCGAGACTTAAGTGGAGCAGTGGCCAGATACTGACCGTAGGTCGGTTGATTTTCTCCGGGAACTCCGGCTTTTCTCCACCAAAAGCTGTTAATAGGACGTGAAACACAAACAAACCAAACTTAACCAATAATCTGATTTCTTAATCCGTCTCTCAGTTTCATTTTAAAAAGTGTGTGTGGTGTGTATAGCTTGAAATCTTCAATATATAGTCACACAATGTGGTTTGCATGTACATGAACAGCTTTGTTTGACCAAGTGTCCCATATCGAGAGTAGTATAACCTATATTTGTACCTCTAATTTCAATTGTTGATACAATTTTCTAGACAAACATTTTCACCTTAAGCTTCCAAATGTGGTACACAGGTAGACTTTGGAAAGGGGGAGTGTCACAACCTGATCAACGTGACCTTTGTTTTGACCTTCATATCCAAGGAATGAAAAAGTTTGTCAGAGGCATGATGTCATGGTAACCAATTTGACTCAAATAATTTAAAAGAAAAATTGTCCAAATCAGGAATATCCAGCAATTACAAAAATGTTACAGGTGTAACAGTCAGTGTGGTGAATTGACAACATTTTACGTCATTTGCCTTTCGACGTCGACTCGGAAAATTCGTGAATAAAAGTTATGTTTACTCGTATTTCTAATGACTATATTATGCACTTCCGCATAATCCTCTTCAATATCTTTACAGATGGTTTACACGAGTAAGTGAATAAGTAAATATTTTATTAAATACAAAAAAAAAAAAAAAAACACAAAAAACACTTGATTACCATGTTTTGTTCCCGGTAACTTCATTTATGAATTTCGTACATTATACATATAATATGCCATTATTAAAATATCTATAAACATGGCAAATTCATATGTCTGCATGAAAGGCAAATTATATTGAGCCCCATGCGCTGTGTAAACACCATAATCATATTTGAGTGTCAATGAGAATGACTTTACAAGGGGGGATAATCTGTTTATATATAACAACACTCGGCCGTTACTATCGAGCGAGATCATAATATGTACCTTACTTTTGGCAGTGTCCGTCTTATGCAGAGAGAACTAATTAAATTCGGGCCATAACGAACCATGTTCAGGTTTCTATTTTATCAAACTGGCAAACACACTGAGTGTAAAAACATCGCAAAATAGAAAACCTTAAATGTATTGCAATGCCCTACCTTATATATATTGACCCTGGAAAAAACTATAACGTCTTCCTTCTTGATCTCACTCGATTGTTCGGAAATGATTTCCCTTTTACTACATCGACGAATCTATTCACCATGACCCCGATGTATCCTTCAATACCTGATATAACGGCTTAACTTAATACATTTACATATGTTCTACATTGCAAAGATGTAACATTTCTAAGTCATTACAGATTTTTAAGAGCACAACTCTAACGTGATTTCATGTACAACAATTCAGTTACGAAGTCACAATCACAACATTTGAGATACCTGGATTTCGACAGTTAAAAATTGTTATTGGCTATTCTCATAATGTACTTGAGGGATCTTTCGCAAATTTGATATGCATGTTCCCTTAGCCCTTGGTTGTGCATGTTTTGGATTTCGGATTTAGATTTAGACATTTACTATTAACATAAATCGATTAAACAGATAAGAGAAAAAGAAGCGAAAATATCAAACTGAAATACTGGGATTTTCTCTTGATTTAGTTTCCCTTGCGCATCGCTTCATATCTTTTCTGCGTGTTTAAGTGTACTGGTTTTAGCGTACTAAACGTTTTATTTGGACGAAGCTGTTTGGGCTTATGAGTGCAATCTTGAATCTCGTAAATCGCAGAAAATAAACTCGATGATTAGGATTTTTTTTTTTTTTTTTTTTTTTTTTCAAAATATACTACGAAATTATTATACTGGGTGTACAGTGGGTGTCGGGGATCAAAACCTATTGGTAATAGAGTGGTATATCGGCAACTTCCTTGGAACAAGCATGGACAAATCATTAACGTATGTATGCAAGTGAGTCATGTGTCGAGTGAAATCCGGTATTTTATGGTATTGATAATATGTCCTTTTGTTGTCTAATTGTAGAAATGGACCAAAATTAACGGACGACGCAAAGGCGAAAGCCGATTAAATTAGATCATCTCCAAATATAAGTGCACTTACAGTATTGGATTGTTCTGCAGTTTGTCTTTGTTATTCAAACAGTTACAGAATGTTCATTTTTCTTGTTTTCTAGGTAGTGCGGATGCTGATCGTGATTGTCGGGGTGTTCGCCACACTATGGCTGCCATACCGAGCTATGGTAGTATACAACTCATTTTCAAGACATAAATATCTTGATACTTGGTTTCTTCTCTTCTGTCGAGTCATGATCTACATCAACAGTGCCATAAACCCGATCCTCTACAACGCCATGTCTGTCAAGTTTCGACGGGCCTTCCAGAAAGTGCTTTGTTGTGGTAAGAGATCATGTAATTTAAACAGCGCCCTCTGTTGGCTTTTATTGTAGTTCATGATACCATTAAGCATGATGTTATTAATTTCTTGTCTGTATCTTGACGTGAATCGGCGAAATATACAATGTATGTAATGAGTTACTGTTTTAAAGACGATTTTTTGGTCTTGTTCATCTGAAACAGTGTGTTTTCTTTTGCATCAAACTCTTTAATCTACATTACAGTCAAAGACTTTGAACAGGTTCTGATTTATTTTACTCTTCACAATTGTTGATTCAAGCTTTCATTTTATTTTATTTTTTTTGCTAAATTCCTTGTTAACTTTAATATGTACATTTTGAATGTGCTTCAAAGAACCAATATCCACTAAGAGTGATGCATTTGAATTGGAGGTAATATAATGTTTTGTATCGAATTTGTTATTATGTTCCTTTTGTTTTTATAGGCATACGTCATATGAAACATCAAAATGAGATATACAGTGATGGAGTATGCTATGAACGGACAACTCTTGCAGCGAACAGGAGTCATCACCAAGAAAACACATACCTAATGCTGCCTCACAAGGCCCTTTCGAAATCCTCGGAGTCCGTCAATGACACTCGAGGCTCAGCAGTGAAAATAACGCTATAGCATGCTGCTCATTTATCATCTGATGTACCAAGTGTCAACTCTCAGGATGTATGTGTATTGAAGTTTTTATCTAGACATGCCATTCTCAGCATAGCTATACATACTTGTATATTGTTAGCATTAAGCTACTTGCTACATTGAAACAAATACATTTCTCCCTTCTGAACCACTTCATAAATGGATATAATATCACGTGATGATTATCAAGATGCATGTTACAATCTAGTTGTACTTACACCTGTACACATCAGGCACGAATCCACAGCATTGTCAGCATAAAAATCAACACCGTGTTGAAGTAACAAATGCACAAGGTCATCAATCACCTGACTAATGGACGTAGTAATAAGCAACACCCGGTTGTAAGGAAGCCTGACATTGACAGAATGAAATATCAACATCCGGTTGCAATTGAATGTGTAAACAGTCAACGTCAATATCCACATCTGCTTGACGTTCCAAATGTACGTTATAAGCATACATGATATCTTGTACGAATACGTGAATAAAGGTCAGCATCCGGTTGTACTAATGCTTGAAGATTGTCTGCATAAATGTCAACATCCAGATGTTTTAACATATATACACTGCAATATCCGGTTATTATGACATGTGGACACTGTCTTCAGCAATATCGACATCTGGCTAGGGTATTTCTTATGGGCTTATTCTCTCTCGTATATATCTGAATATCTGATTGTTTCCACACGTTTACATTCATGTTAAACAACTAAACGTTAACATCAGGTTGTGTGAATATTCAGGAAAAAATCCATATATACGATTATAAAGTCTTATTAATTATGCAGTTCGTTCAATCTTGACTGCTGTGAGAGGCTCTCGTCGCCATGCAAACAATACATAAAGACTGACTACATCAATATCCGACAAGTGTATCACACCATATATACGGGGTATACGTAACTCAAACAGTCAGTTGCTTGTCCATTATTTTGGAACATAATAATATATAAAACAAAACAAAAACACTTCTTGATATTTTAAATTGTATGTTATATTGAGGCAATGAATTATATATTGCACTTAGTTGTTCCTTTGTTTTATTTTCCTGACGAATTCCATTGACATGATTATTAAACAAGTATCCATTTAACACTATTATTGGGATATTTCCGCAACAGTCTAATTTTGTCCTTTTTTGCTCTACTGAATGAAGTAAAATAAGTATGTGGGAAGGGCGAATTTAAAACAGGGCTACTATAGATGGATGTTATCGGCGAAGGGCGAATATTTGAAAGATGAATCTTCTCCGGTTAACAGTATGTATTTATCAAGAAATAGTTACAAAGACAATCCGGTCGTAGAAGTTGAATATTTATACTGCTGATTGTACATGTACAAATTAACTATATTGCTTATTTATTCTGCAAAACATAATTTGTATACGGTTAACACTCTTGTGACCTAGCTCCAAAAGCAATCCATTATATTATCTGCATGGTACACCAGATCATTATGTATCGTACTGTTTACATATATATACCGGGAAGTTTCACCGCAACCAAATTTTCGATTTTTTGCCCTGCGGCACGAGGGCGAATTTATCATGAAAGCGAATACTAGTACACCACATACCATATATACTATTTACAATTGAAAGGCGATATTAAAATCGATAAAGAAGAGTTATTGTTAAGTAGAGGATTCAAAAGAAAATCCACGATTTTGCAAGGGGTTCCCACACAAGGAGCGTCTTACGAATCGTGTATGACGTGACAATAGTTATATATTCATTTCTAAATTCCCCACTTGCATAGGGTGAATAGTCAAAGAAAATCATCAACATTAAATATGGTCTTATAAACGCCGCTGTAAATATATTACAGGAGTGATTAGCTACAATCCGGGATGTCAGGAGACTGTATTAAATGGGGCCTTCTTTACGTTTATCGGAGCGGTCGTCGCTAAATAATACATACATGTAGCTCTCAAAGCGATTCTTCGCATTTGTTGCTAGTTAGAACGTTTCCAGATGATGCTTTCAGTTAGATCGATCAATTAACGAGAATGTACAATCGTCTTCATTCGTAACGAAATGTGATAAATCTACTTAAATAAGAGATACGTGTTCAAATCACACACAATGTTTCGATGCAAAATCGAGAATTCTACCGAAATGGATGTGTCGCCTGCCTCAACTTATGTGGAATGATGGCTGATTGCAATGAAACTTTGGGAGTAAGTATATACTAATCGAACTTTATCACAATCTGGTAATTTCTTCCACATATATAATCATATCAGTTTATAATCTACGATTGCTACTGGCAGATATATTGGATCCACGTTCAAATGAAAAAGGATCGAAATCAAATAGGAGTTATTAATTGACTATTAGTACATCTATGTGTAGAATGTTCCATAAAAAATAAAGCCTTTCTTTCAAAATTTACGTACCAGACGGAAACTTTAATACTTATTGCAAATTCAGATTCTACGATAAGTGTAGATAGCTTCATAAAATCAAACAAATCTGTCTAGAGTGATCGCACAAAAACCGTGTGACTGTAAAACTAACCAAGATGGACGCTGGCGGTCATGATCATTTTAGGACTTTGAAGGTACTGTATATATAGCACGAAGAACATTTTAGCGACTGACGAAGTGACCTATATACGTCAGCTTTGCGTCGCAGGATAATAGATGTGATCTATCTAGATTGTTCTACACCCAAAATTGTCTCCTGTTGGCATCCTCGTGATTCTTCCTGTCTTTGTCATCAAAAATATATGCAATTTCTACAAGGACTATTTAAACTTATAAAGCTTTAACGTTGAAAGGGTGACTGCTCCTCTGCTCCCATACATATCTTGTCCGTTCAGGCTTGATCCGCTTGAGAAAACTGAACTCAATATTCTCTGAAGTGAAACATGTTAAAATATGTGTGCAGTTCTTATTGTTTTCATTGTGTTGTCATTGAAATCCTTACAGTCACTTTTGGTTTAATCTTTCAAAATTTCTCTAATGCAATTAATAATAATTGTGGTGTCATTAAGTAAATTAGGTATCTAGGGAACAAGGGCCTGTTTTATTTGCACAGAAATCGGAAATGTTATTTCAGAAGGTGCGTTTAGTTAAGCAGATTACTATTCAGCAGGGAGAGGGAATTTAGTATGTTGGTTTGTATTTGTCATGTAAGACCATTTCAATTCTACAAACGGCTAAATCAGTGATTTCTTTTTGTGTGATAACATGTGGTACAGTCTTATAAACGCTGAAATAGTTCTTGATATCTTCTTACATGTATGCATATATACGGAAAGATAAAATAACCCTTACCTTAACCCTTCACTCTAATCTTAAAACCTTAATCCTTATCTTAATATCTAAAAAAAAAGGAATTATCATTACCCCATCTTAAAGTACAACCCTAACTCCTCATACTGTATGATGGAATTACCTTTTCCTTGTATTCGGCTTGACTCTTGAATGCAACTTTTACAACGTATATCAATTAACACTTAAAATTTACATATTATATGATAGGTAAACAAGTATTGTGAAAAGTTTAATGCAAATATTCTCGTTGGATAATGATGTTTATTCAGCCTTGTTAGTATTTCTCCACAATTTCCACAACTCTTGAACACAAATGCGAAAAGTGTTGTTTAACTGCGGAATTCACGCTCTGTGATCGATGAAAAATCCCTCCGTTCATCGTAATACGTGAACAACCTACGTCTTCAGAAGCACGTTATGACAGTTTAGGGAATTCCTACAGCAGCTTTGGATAACAAAAGGTCGCGTGACGTCCCCTGGAAAGGTTCATGCCTAGGCTGTCACGTACATATTTACATCAATAAATAGTAACGAAGGGTAATAGTTTCCGCGACGTCCAGTGACGTACATTAGTAATACTCACCACCGCGTTGATGTTTTATAAGACAAATAAGCAAACCGCCTGTGCCATGGTTAGCAAGTTGCAAATACGTGCAATTACCAATTCATGTTGAATTACCTTGTTAATGGGTAAATTTTAACTAGATGGACAACAACGTAACAGTGACGTTAAAGTAAGCTAAATTGGCGAACCACAAAATTCATTTAAAGGCGACAAGAATGCCTACTAAGCTTAATTTGCGTTAAAAAAAATGCCTGCAATTACATAAGCGTCCTGATCACATCGGAATGCAAACACTGCAGGTTATCGAATAACTTTATAAAGGTGTTTATTATACAATCGTTTCCTGTTACTTCAGCTATCGCTACTATAAAGTCGGCATCAGTTCCGCGCTATTACAAGAAGACAAACACGAACATATCGCAGCCTCCCAAAATACATACACATACACTACACGCATGCATCTTGCACACAGGGGAGGCCGTCCTTAAATGACCTTAGCTGTTAATAGGACGTTAAACAAAATCAAACAAACAAACAAACAAATAATTCGTGTGATACAGTAACCAGTCAAAAGTGGGTTTTTTTTACAAATAGTCAAATTAATCCAGTTGTCTCACGATCTAGTCCCTCCTCATCCGCGCTCAGCCTATGTTATTTCTGTAGTATTTTTGTGTTGGTCAATGGTTTAGAACAAAAACCGTTATTGTCGTTCAGTTATACAGTTTATTGTTACAATTTCATCCGAAATATTTCAGGAGTATTATCATATTTCACTATGATTTGGCGTTCCTTCCTTATCCTCTCTACTTCACAGTAAAACTAATTGGTAGGGGGCCGAAATAAGTTTCTGTTTACGATACGTTCACGGGAAGAATCGAGTGTTTTCTACGAAAACGCCATTGAAGGGACCAAGACTGATCTGCTGACCCCCTTGCAACACTTTATCGTTTCCTATCTTTTCTTTCTTCGTTCTTTTCAATCTACTTTTTCTTCCTGGCGGTGTTCCCCTGTATATATATGACCCTGTCTGTTGCGAGGACGTTAAATCATAAAGTCCCCTAGGTACCCCTTATTTATTCATTTTATTACTGCTATTTGTTATATCCATGGTAGTTTTGTATCATTTGGTGCCCCTCCTGCAATAGACCTTTCCCATACCTTTCCTGGCAATATTTTGCTTCTGGCTTTTATGTTGAGCATTTGCCCAGATGAGAAAGGCAATGGGTTCTGTCCCCAGGCCAGGACATACCAACGTCCTTAAAAATGGGGAATATAGCAACAACTGGTTCACCCGTTGTCAGTATAATGTGGCCGGGTGGAATACTGTGCTGGGTGCCTTCGACATGGTATTTCAGTGAAAAAGCACTATACAGTCGACAACAGAACCGCGCTATCACAAGTAGGCAAGTACGCCAACATACCCTGTCTCCTGCACACACATGCACACATGTACGCATGCACAACACACATGGAGGCACGTCTTCAAATGACCTTAGCTGTTTATAGAACGTTCAAAAAATGAAATCAGAACCAAACCTTAACTTTCCATGCCCGGGCACTGTTTTCTATTTCTTAGTACTCAAGTGGCTATAACGTACTTAGGTATTATTTCACTCATTTGTAAACCTGCTGTGTTACAGTACTGCTCGCCCTTAGTTTGGTTTCGTTTTGATTTAGCTTCTTTAACGTCCATTTACAGCTAAGGCGAGGCTAGGACGAGCCTCCATCTGTGTATGCGTACTTGTGTGTATGTGTGCAGGAGGCAGAATATGTTGATATAGTTTCCAACTGCTCGCCTTTGGAACCCCTGCATTACAACGTTAATGTTCCATTCTTTGTTAGGCCTACATCGCTAAGAAATGTGTATGTGTACATGAATTAAATGCCTTGAAAATTACTAATTAATGCCTTCGAGCTCAATATCTGTGCTTTAGTTCATCTTGTTGATTAACATGTTGAAACAGCTTATCTTGTTTCATATTAGAACGAATTTTCCATTTGATTAAACACTCAATGTCGCTAATGCATTACATTGGAAGCATTGGAAGATATTCTTTCAGTCTATCACAATTGTCATTCATTTGTGCAATGAACCATAACATCCAACACACATAACACAGAATGTGCTTAAAAATTTAATGGGAAGATGATCG